ACTGAACCGTCTAAAAAGTATATTCCAAAATCAAACTAAACCGTCGAGATTTAGTCAGTTTAATTAGTTTGTACTAATTAACGCTCATGGTCAGGCTGAGACTTGCTATTTAGATGTGTTGGAGTTATAATAAGTGTAACTTAAAACTTGACATTGTAGTGGGAAAGTGTAGTCCCACATAGAAAATGGAATAGGAAGGAAGGTTGTTTATAAGCATTTCCCTTCTTTCTTATGCTTAGAAGAAATTAAAGGGTTATGCTCTACACCACACACGCGCGTCGGCCGGGCTCGGGCTCGGGTTGGGTGGCGCGCGCGCACGACCTGCGGAGACGAATGCAGCTCCGGATTGAGAGGCTCTTAACCTGTTATATTTTGTTTTTGCTAACTGGAATAATTAAAACATAATTAATATGATACAGATTAAAACGTGATTAATGCTTTTCTTTTACAACTAAAACGTGATAAATATTTTGTAAAGGCTAGGATAAATGGGCGAGTAATTAAAACATATTAACTGCGGATTTATGGACTTAAATGACGAAACAGCTAGCATTAAACATGTTAATTGCCACGGATTTGTGGGATAACGGACACGACTCTCAACCTATATAAAGACCGGAATATGCGAGTGTTAAGCATAGTGTGAAGAAACGGATCTCTTCTCTTCCTCAATCTAATGTAGTAGCTGAAAGAAAGAATAGAACATTAATGGACATGATAAACTCAATGTTAATTAATTCTGGTGTGTCAGAGAACCTGTGGGGAGAAGCCCAAATGACTGCTTGCCATATACTAAATAGAATTCCATTCAAGAATTTTGATAAAACCCCTTACACAATTTGGAAGAATAGAAACCCTAACTTAGATCACCTGAAAGTGTGGGGGTGCTTAGCAAAAGTTAAGGTACCTGAGAATAAGAGAAAGAAGATTGACCCTAAAACTGTAGATGGAATCTTTATTGGTTATGTTTCTGATAGTAATGCAAATAGATTTTTAATAATCAACTTTGATATTAATGAGATAGCCAATAACACCATTATTGAAGCTAGGGATACACATTACTTTGAAAATATTTTTCCTTACAAAATCAAAGTAAGCAACACAGGCCCTAACTCTAGCAATTAAGATCCTAGTTCTAACCAATGTGAAACTAGTTCTAGACAAATCAGACCACTAGAAAATCCAGAAGAACCTAGAAGAAGTAAGAGAACTAGAGTAGAAAAGGTCCATGAAGACTTCTATACATTATTTGTATAAGATTCTCCAATTACATTTAAGGATGCAATGAAATCAGTAGATGCTCCGTTTTGGAAGGAAGCTATAAATAATGAAATTCAATCTATAGTTCAAAAACATACCTGGGAACTCACTGATCTTCCTTCAGGCTGCAAAACTATAGGATGTAAATGGGTATTTAAGAAGAAACTCAGACCAGATGGAACAATAGATAAATATAAGGACAAATTAGTAGCTAAAGGATATACCCAAAAATCTGATATTGATTATTTTGATGTATATTCTCCAGTAGCTAGGATTACTACCTTTAGCATCCTTATAGCTTTAGCATCCATTCACAAACTTATAATACATCAAATGGATGTTAAAACTGCATTCTTAAATAGTGACTTAGATGAAGAAATTTATATGGATCAACCTGAGGGATTTGTTGCTTCTGGAAAAGAGAAGAAATTATTCAAGCTTATTAGATCACTATATAGTCTCAAACAAGCTCCAAAATAATGGCACATGAAATTTGATGAGATCATACTATCCTATGGATTTGTAATTAATCAGACAGCTGAGTGTGTATATCACAAAATAGATAATAACAACAAAATTGTGATTTTATGCTTATATGTTGATGATATTCTTATTTTTTGACTCTGACATACAAAGCATAAATGAAATCAAACACTTTTTATCACAAAAATTTGACATGAAAGATTTAGGTCAAGTTGATTTAATTCTTAACACTAAAATCTTCAAAAATGAGAATGAATATGTGTTATCACAATCACACTACATAGAGAAAATACTCAAAAACTTTTATGATCTAAATTGTCAACCTGTTTCTACTCCATATGATCCTAATGTACATCTAAAGAAAAATACAGGTTATCCTCAATTACAAAGAGAATATGCACAAATAATTAGATCATTAGGATTCCTGACAAACTACACCAGACCTGACATTGCTTATACAGTAAATAGACTTAGTAGATATACATCAAATCCTGATAAGAGTCACTGGGATCCTTTAGAAAGAATTTTGAGATACCTAAAAGGAACTATAAATTATGGTTTACATTATAAAAGCTATCCATCTGTATTAGAAGGCTGCTCATATGCAAATTGGATTAGTGACTCAGTAGATGTAAAATCCACCACCGATTTTGTGTTCCTTTTAGGAGGAGGAGCTGTGTCCTGGAAATCTACTAAACAAACTGTAATGGCTATAAGTACAATGGAATCAGAAATGATAGCTCTTAATACTACTAGTATAGAAGCTGAATGGTTGAAAGATTTACTTACTAAAATCCCATAATACAAAAACCATTACCATCTATTTCTATTCATTGTGATTGCAGGTCAGCGATTGAAAAATGTTATCAAGAGAATGCAAATGTGAAGATGAATCGACACTTTAAAGTGCGACATAAATCCTTGAGATATAAGATGAAAAACCATGTAATAGCCTTAGATTTTGTAAGATCAAAGAAAAATCTTGCAGATCACTTAACTAAAGGCTTATCTAGGACAGTGGTCCTAGAATCATCGAGGGGGATGAAGTTAAGCTCATAAGAAAAATCACTATAGTAGCAACCTAACCTTGCAGAGGTTCAATGGGTAGAAACAAACTGGATGAGTGATTAATTATGAGGAGCACTGAATTTATTTGCTCCCATCCGTAGGATGATCAGTGCTAATAAAAGCAAGTGAAAGGTTGAGTTAAACTCTTAATGAATCCAAGACCCATGAGGCATGATGCTTACTTGCTCGCATCATTATTAGGATTCACCTATATGTGTGTAGTTGTGAGGCCGCGACTATGGGATCAGAGCTACTCCTAATAACACACATGAAAGATACCTGCGTAAGGCCGATAATAACGCAACCCGCTTAGAATTCTTCAAAACTATACTATGTGTGCTTTCTGTAGAAATTCGATAAATAGGACTGATTGAAGGCGTAGTCCACCAAGCTCTCACGGATCTATATAACCGTCACTAAGTGAATGTTCAAACCGAAAGGTACCTCCACCTATTACATAGTATAAGGGAACCAGCAATCTTAATTTTCAAAGTTTTTCTTTTACTCTTAATTCTGAATTATTTTAAGCTTTAAGTTATGTGGGGGATTGTTGGAGTTATAATAAGTGTAACTTAAAACTTGACATTATAGTGAGAAAGTTTAGTCTCACGTAGAAAATAAAATAGGAAGGAAGGGTATTAATAGGTCTTTCCCTTCTCTCTTTTGCCTAGAAGAAAATAAGGGTTATGCTCTACACTACACACGCGCGCCGCCGGCCGGGCTGGGCTCGGGCTTGGGCTCAGGTTCAGGTCGGGTAGCGCGCGCACACGAATGCAGCTCCGGATTGAGGAGCTCTTAACCTGTTATATTTTGTTTTTGCTAATTGGAATAATTAAAACATAATTAATATGACACAGATTAAAAACGTGATTAATGTTTTTCTTTTACAACTAAAACGTGATAAATATTTTGTAACGACTAGGATAAATGGGTGAGTAATTAAACGTATTAACTGTGGATTTATGGACTTAAATGACGAACGACTAGCATTAAACATGTTAATTGCCGCGGGATTTGTGGGATAACGGACACGACTCTCAACCTATATAAAGACCAGTATATGCGAGGGTTAAGCACAATGTGAAGAAACAAATCTCTTCTCTTCATCTTCTCTTTTCGAAAATATTTTTTCTGCTATTACACTTCCGCTGGTTCCCTGAAAGTTGAGAAGAATTCGCACAACCTTCTTGAAGCTCGTGCCAACGAGAAGGAGGTCGCCTGACCAAGGGTTGCTGTATCTCCAAGAACTACTGTCGCGTAGCCCTGTATAAGAGGGGGCAATTATATTCTTGGGACAGTGCCTTGTACGCCTCGACTATCAGGCCGTATTTCTAACCTTATTTATTTTTCGTTACAATTAATTTTATTTCTGTGATAAAATATTAATCTGCTTTTATCTGATATTAATCGTCTAATTTCGTGTTAATTATTGTCTAAATAGCTAATATTCCCAACAAGATGGTGTTACGACTACACTGGTAGAACTATCGGGCGCATCACTTCACCTTGCAAACTCACCGGCGAATAATTCGTGCCCGAAAATGAAAGGTTGCCATGAGTTGTAAAATATTTTTTTATAGATTGATATTGCATTTGAATTAGTATCTAGCTTTTTGTCAACTCATTGGTTAGAACTGGATGTGCTCCAGTCAAATTGGGGGGAAAAAATGTCACAAATAAATAATTTTTTTATTCTTGCACCCTTCCTCATTCAAGTGGATTCATGCAGGTTTTAGATAGATTTAAAGGCCAATTTTGATGGTCTACAAATTTAGTCTTATTTTTTCAAATATGTTAAACGCGTTAATAGTAACATACTACTTATTCGTATGAGCATCTATTCTATTGTTTTCCTTATGTATGTGTTACATTCATTTACGATATTCGTATTTGATTTCGACGGATATAAATTAAAGGTTTTCCTATCAATATTCGACTAGTTTGCATCTCTAAAACCAATCTAGCCTTTTTATATTTTTGCTCGATCAATAACGCGACAATTATTTCTCAGAAAAAAAGTCCTCAAAAAATTAAAAAAATAAAAAATAAAAAAAGCGACTTTTGGACTCTTTTCCACTTCATGTTCAAATTTCCCTGTACACCAAGAAACCAAAAATTCCCATACCCCTAACATAAGCAAAGCACATAATCACACCTCAAGAAAATTCCAAGCAAGTCCCTCATCGACAAATTCTCTCTCATAAAACCCCCTGCACCCCTCTCCACCAATTCTCCCCTCTTCCCCTACTCTATTTCCAATTAAAAAAAAAAAAATCAGAAAACCCGTAGAAAATCTACACCCAATTATCACCTCAATCATCTCCCCTCAACGTCCGTCGTCTCATGCTGTATGAATGAGAGGAGCCCATCTCAGATTGAATGGGAGCTCAGAAGAGCATTCATGCTGGAAAAGGTCAGTTCCCCAAAAATAAATGAATAAAAAAAATAAAAATTTCTATTTGGGTCTTTCTCTAATTCTAACGGTAGTTTTGAATTGGAATACAGCGAAGATAGATTTCAATGTGGACTTCACTCACAAATTATGTGGCGCCTTCTTGATTCCTCCTCTCAGGCTATTATTCTTAGCCTTACCCATCAATTTTATTTTATTTTATTTTATTTTATTTCTGAAATACCCATTAACAAATTACTTGGATTTGGGTTCTTTGCAGGGGTTCTACCAATCCCTTTTCACAGGTTATTGGAAGGTATAGTTTCTTTTGGGTTGTTTACGTTTCGAATTTGGGTTAGAATTTTTGATTGATAATTTGACTTTATTTATTTATTTATTATTATTATTGTTATTGTTACTTTGTTTGCAGTTTGAGTGTGAAGCATCCCAACCTTTTTGGAAGAAGTGAGAAGTTGGATCTTTTGTGGGATAAGGGGCTTCAGGATTCTAGTGTTATTATCGCATTCAGGCGGCCGAGGCCTGAGTGGCTCTCTCAGCAGTCATTTGTTATTCAGGTGACAGTTTGATTCTTTTGTGGTTCAGTTTCTTAATGCTGTGAATTTTAATTGTGATCGGCAGTTAGCAATAACCGAAGTTACATGTGTACATGTTGAATTATAGAGTTAAGGGTAGTGAGTGGTTAAGTGGCCAAATGGTTGATTCATCCCTGCATTGTTAGAGTTGCATCAGCCATTAATTTGAAGCCCTGGTAGAGAATATCTCGTAGTTGTCTCTTTTTCAGCTGGGCAAACTTTGATGACGATGACAATGATTATGCATAATAACCAGTCAGATATTATTTTATCTTAAAACAAATTTTCACTGTAGACCCAAACCAAGTTTTAATTACCAAAATCGACCCATTTTTTTTAATTACCAAAATCGACCCATTTTATGCCACGTAAACTTAATCCCATTTCCTAATTAGTCGGGGTTGCCAACCCCGACTGTTTAGGAGTTGTTAAACCCCAATTAGAAGCCTTAAAACCAATTTTTAATACCCTAAACAGTCGGGGTTGCCAACCCCGACTAATTAAGAAATGTGATTAAGCTTATGTGGCATAAAATGGGTCGATTTTGGTAATTAAAAAGAAATGGGTCGATTTTGGTAATTAAAACTTGGTTTGGGCCTACAGTGAAAATTTGTTCTTTTATCTTATGATGCGTGCCAAGTTGTATGTATTCTGATTGTATAGAGTATATTAAGAAAGGTAGAGTATGTTTGAGGCCAAAGGTATCTGTGACCTTCTGGACATTCTGATTAATATTGTATGGCCAAATGATGATAGCTATCTTTTGCTGCAAAAATTCTTGATATTGTTGCTGATAAAATACCTGAGGATTGAGAATGAGATAGCTAGTTGGAGCAGGCCATATAAATTGACAAATTACTTTTTTTGCTAAAGTATTAACTAAAATAAATTTAAAAGTATTATCTAAAAGAATTTTTTTCCTTTTATGTAATACATGTGATTGATATACATGCTTCAGGGTTTTTTGTGTGCATGTGTGTTTGGGGTTGGGGGGGGGGGGTAATAGAGTACTTAGTACATTAAGAAATTTAAAGAATATTGTTCAGTCCCACGTTGCAAGATTGTGTAACAGTATTCTATTGGCTATGTTATAAATAGAAATTGATTATCCCTCTCTTAGATGAAGTCACTTTTAGATTGCTTCTATTATTTGAGCATCTTTTTTAATGCATTCATTAAAAATTGGTTATCCATTCTTCAAATAACATGAGTTAGTCTTTTCCCCTAAAAATTATAATTTGATTGCTGAAATATTTAGAGTGTTCTCTTGGTTAAGTCTTTGACACTACTTGACTGATATTACTGTTATTACCAGCACTCAGTAACACCAGAGATTGCCGTTCATGGATTGCCAGTCAATAATTTTTCTCGATCAGGGAGTGGGGGTGTCAACCTATGTCGCATGTCAGCGGGTGTGGATCTTAGTGAACCTGCTACTTCCCATTGGAACACCACAACTAGCATCAAATTTGAGGTGGGCGCCAATTTTTTACAATAATGATAAAACTATGTATTTTATTCACCATTCTTACAAAGGTTAAATTTGACGTAGAGTCTTCGTTGTTTATTTTATTTAAATCCAGCATGTCCGTCCTATAAGCGATGATGGCCGTGCCATAACTAGGGACCTTGATGGCTTTCCCCTGACTTGCAGGTAATTAGACTGGTTACTGTTGTTTTGTTGTTGCTTCAGGCTGATAAACTGGTCAACGTTTTATTCTTGTGCAGTGGTAGCCATTATGATAATATGGTTATTTTGAAGCAAGAGTCACAGTATGCGACTGCAAATGATCATAGTTTTTCCAGAGTAAGTGATAAACATTTTTTCTCTTTCAAGATGACTTGGATCTTAATCTGACTTATTCTTGTCAGTTGAGTTTTCAAATGGAACAAGGCTTACCTCTTCTGTCAAAGTGGCTCATCTTCAATCGGTTCAAATTTGTTGCTTCCAAAGGAGTCAAATTGGGGCCAGCATTATTAGTCTCAAGGTGAGTACATTTTCTGAGGCTTTCAATTTTGTCCTTGCTAAGATTTATCACTTACAGTTCCCATTTGACAGCTTGACAGGTGGTTCAATTGTAGGAGACATGGCACCTCATCAGGCGTTTACAATTGGAGGCATTGGTAGTGTTCGAGGTTATGAAGAGGGTGCAGTTGGCTCAGGAAGGTCATGCCTAGTGTTTAACAGTGAATTTACAATGCCTTTGGTATGTGAACTCCTCACTCTGCTTAAGTGTTTGCTGTCTAAGAATGTAGAATGCATACCCTTGATTACAAAAAACTTTGATTTTATACCTGCATGGCACTTGCATAAAGAGGTTCTGTCCTGACATTGTTACTGATTCCTTTTTGGAGGTAAAAATTGTATCAAATTTGATAATACCAACAAGAACATACTAATACATCAGACTAAAGCCTTATCTAATACAATATTCTAAATATCGGATGTCAGAAATTTGTCAGACAGAATTTCCAAATCAGATGGTGAATTTCAAAGATATATCATGGATATTTAGTAAATATTGGGAGTGTCATATTGGATAATGTGTACTACACATCGTAGATATTCGTACTTGATGCGTCAAAGAATGGAATTGTGAAGAACATTGCTAGCTCTTTAATGTTTATCCACTAATAAAAAAGTTACTAATATTTCCAAGTCTATAATACTAGGACTAAACGTATTTGGCTTGTAACTCCTACTAAGTTATGTCTTTTCGACATCTAAGCTAAAGTTTAACAGTCTCCATGATGAAAATAAGGAAGAGACACTTAAATGGTGAAAGATTCAGGAAGAGAGAAACTTACTTGCACAAGTCGTCTAGGAAGAGTAGGGGCTTATTGATGGGAGCAGTTGATGGTGAAGGCAAATGTGCCAAAATACATAATTCGTCTATAGTGTCTAGAATTGAAAAAGATGTAACACTTTTGTAAAAGAATTTAGGGTGTGTTTGGCAACAACTCAAAATGGGGCGAGGATTGATCCTGGCCTCATTTCTGGCAAACCCTTATTTGGGAAAAGCTGGGCCAAAACTGGCCTAGTTTATCTTAAACCAAAAAGGGCGTTCAGACAGGTTCTTTTTGGACCACCCTCCCCCGGTTCAACTTTGAACTGGTATAGGGTAAAACTAGACTAGGACTAATCCTAGCCTAGTTTTTCGTTGGGTCCCAAACACCCCCTTATGCTCAATGGAGCCATAATTATTCCTTTTGGGGCGGGTATTAATTTAGGTTTAAACCCATATTGAGCCATAAATCTACGCCCAATCATTAAAACAAATGTAGGTACAGAATACAAACCAATATTGAACATCATGCCTTGCTTTGAGGCCCTAATGTCACTGAGTATAATAGGAAAATCTTGATATATCGCCAAAATTTTGTCGAAAACCAAAAATGATATTGAAATTATATCATATTGTGGCGAGCCTTATAAAGGGACATGTCGTTCAATATTTAAAATAATAACCTACTGTCTATTAGAACTTTTATGAGTAATGATAATCAAAGTTCATGGGACACGACTCATAAGTGTAAAATCTTCTTATGAAACTTTTCTTTTGAAGTGGGTGATCAAAATTAATATATGGTTTATTGATCTTAGTTATTCTCTAAATTATTGCATCTCTAACCACAAAATGCTTGTTCTAGAGACTAGAAAGCACTATAAAAACTATTGTTATGTTTAAATGATCCTACTTTTATTATTTGTAATTTAGCAGTCCTTTTAGAAGATTGTAAGAGGTTTCAAGGTTAACCTGCATTAATCTAAGGCTAAATATCATAAAACGTCCCTTAACTTTAGACAGTTATAAAAAAACCCCTTAAACTCTCAAAAAATCAGAAAACCCCCCTTAGGTTTAGGGGTTATAAGAAAATCCCCTAATTTGGAGGATTTTCTGATAAAATCAAAATTAAAAAGGGGTTTTTTGCTAAAATCTGAAAGTTAAGAGGGGTTTTGTAATGATCCCCGTACTTGGAGGGGGGGGGGATTTTCTGATATTTTAAAAGTTAAGGGGATTTTCTGATAATTGTCTAAAGTTAAGGGGGATTTTCTGATATTTACCCTTAATCTAACAAGTGAAAGTTTTGATGGACAAATACACCGTTCTCATCTTTGCATGACCAAGAAACTTTCTCTCTTGTATTTAGGATTATCATCTAAAATTGGTTATCTGATAATCAAGCGTTCTTGGATCCCTTGAGTAGCACAACTTTTTCTTTATTGTGACAACTCAAGTTATTTCATCCAATTATCTGTGATTGTTTCTTTGTGTTCTTGGTTACCATGTAGAAATGATTGTCCATGGCCAACCATGCTTGCATCCCTTAAGTGGTAATTAGTAAGCAGCATAGCTTTTCCTCCTTCTTGATGACTCCAATTATCCCTTAAAGTATATAGATTACCTAATTTATTTGTCAACGCCTTTTAATATGAAGAGATTCCCTCCCCTTAAAGTATATAGATTGTCTAGCCCTTTGGATCTTTATGATCAGATGACTAGAAACTAAACATGGTGCATCACATCATCCCACGAAAATAAGAGACATATATCATCTTATTTTCATACAACATGATAACCACCTTGGTGACAAAAAATTTGAGAATATTCCTTTGTCGTTGAAAAGGATAATACTCCATCTCACAGCATATATAATTTAGATTGTAACACAAAGTCATTACTCAAAAAGTATGTTAATGTTTTATATACATACATTTGTTTCTGAAGAGAAAAACCACGCCTAGAAATTAGAATATGATGATTTTTTGGTTTCATTTGCTTTCATCATATTTAGAATGAATTATTTGCTATAAGAGTTATCTTTTTCTTTTCTTTCTTAATCAATTCATAGTGTAATTTGTAAAATTCTATTTTATACAAGAGAATGAAAGTAGTTTAAATTAAAAAGATAAATTATCCCAAAACATAACATTTTTTACCACATCTAATATTCCTATTACTACTATTATTGCTTTAATAGTTTAAGTTTCCCGAACAGTTCAGTATAGACTGTTTTGTTCACTGTTTTCTTTAAAAAAATATTTCTTTCAGTTGTTCAAATACGGTAAGCTAAGTTGCATGGATATGTGTGTGCTGGTACGGGTAGGGGACACGACAAATTTGTTAGAGGTAGAGTATGATTACGCCGTCAAAACGTAGGTGATGAAATGGCAGTTTTGGGCCATACATGCATGAGGACTAATCAGTGCAAATCGAATAACCTGACCGAACAAATCAAATTTCCATGGTTCGGTTTTAGAAAACTTCGATTTAGTTTGGTTTTTGAATCAAGGTTATGGGAAGCATTTGACGGCCTAGGCATCGGACCCGACACCTAGAGACTAGGCGCCTTGGCAAATTTTTTTTTTGTCTTTTTTTAGTTATAATAATTGACAATACATGTCAATGTTATCGAAAGTGCTAGGCACCTCTTAGCACCAGACTGATGCTTAGTGCCTAGGCGCTTGGACAGATTTTTTCTTTGATTGAATGGTGGTGGAGGAGGTTTTTTGAAAGTGTGAGGTGGAGGAGGTTTTAGAAAGTGCGAGTTGGAGAAGGTGCTCATAGTTAATGGAGGAGGCTGGAGGAGTTCTGAGGAGGTTAGAGGACATAGAGGCGGTTGCGGAGGAAATCACGACTAGGATCTAAGTAGTACAGTTTGTGGAAGCGGTCCACACTTCCATAGGCTCCCATCTAGGCAAGCGGCCGATGTACTACCTAGGACTAGACGGGCTAGGCGCCTGCTTTTTAAAATATTGTTTAAATATTTGAAATTGAATTAACCGAACCGACCAATCTTAATATAATTGTCTAAAAACTTATGATCTTTCTAGGTGAAAAGATAATTCATACTAATATTTTTGTGTATCTTAATTGATAAAGTTTCAATTTTAGTTTGTAAAGTAGTTGATTTGGCGAGCATGCTTGTCAACTAGGGGTATGAGATGAGTAAGGGGTTTGAAGAAGTGAGATTTTTTTAAGCTAAAACCTACCTAATCTGACATGTCTATACCCAAGCTGAACAAACTGAACCAAACTTTAGTTTTGAATCTAGTTCAATTCAGTTTGGAACAAATAGTCAAAATCGATCTAACCATCCATTTGCTCACCCTTAGGGTTAGATACACAAACAACCTTTGAAATCGTAGTTTTTAACTTAATATGGGCTGAAACGAACTCAATCTGTGTCAACCAAGTTTGAAAAGTGAATGTGAAATATAGGATATATGTTCAAGAGGTGTATGACAAGTGTTTTAGATTAGAACACAAATTGTTATAATTGAGTATAGTTCTGAATAAATATGTGTATATATTTAAGGAGTATCTAAGAAGTGTCGGGTACGGGTATGAGATGTGTTAGGTATTCATACAACTTCATGATAGAAGTTATGATAGCCCACTAAGTGTCCCACTTCAGAAAATTGATAGAGTTTAAGAGGATTTAAATTATGAGTCTTGAGAATCAAGTGCAACATTGATTAGTCAATTTTGGCACGTATTGCATGAGTTCTAGGGTTGACATTGCTCTAACGGGCTCGTCGGCCTAGAGCGTGACAGAATAACTCATGCAACATAGATGATAAGCAATAAAAAACAACAATCATACATAAAGGAAGGAGAAAATAAATATAAAGTATCTTCATTTGAGATCAAGGGATCTCTTCTTAACAACTATTCAAATAAAAATCATTAATATTGCCTACTCATTCTTCTCTACGATATCAAAAATTAAATAACCGTAAAAAATTAAAAGAGCTATCTAAACACTAGAATTCATAATTAGGGCTTTTATGTAAATTGTAATAAATCTTTTGTCCTTACCATTAGAATCTGAGTTAAGTCCAAGAGTACAAACAAATCTAGTAACGGCCCATGAATAAAAAAGCCACCAACAAAAAAAATTTAAACAATCAGTAAATAACTAAAAATTAAAATTTGAAAAAAGATGCTATAAATAGAAAATTGATTATTTTTGTACCACTCATGAAGTTCTTTGTGGGTTAGAAGTAGAATCCGGTCTTTTGCCAAGTTAGCATCTCATTTGTTCAAGGATAATCTTGTTCTTTTTTCGGGTTTGATCTCAGTTTTCCTGCCAAATCTAAAACCAAACACGAAGCTGACCCATTGTCAAGAAATATCACAAGGGCAACAAGAAAGACAACAGTGGCAGAGTAAGAGTATTGAGCCTTAACTTGCTTTGTTGAGGTCAAGATTTGAGAGGGGGGGATAAGGAGGGGATTGAGGTCTAACATAGCCACGAGTCAATAAAAAAATAGAAAATATTTTTATGAGGAATTAAAGTGATTTTAATACAAAGCATCAAGAAGAATTTAATTAATACAAAGCATCAAGAAGAATTTAATTACAAATATGATGCGGACTATTACAGCCATCTGAGATGGAAAATATTTTTATCTGCTAGCAAAATGGGCTAATTTGTGCACAATAAGTCCATAGCCATCTTAGAAGAAAGACATTTTTATCTGCTAGCAAAATGGGCTAACTTGTGCACAATGTTATCGAAAGTGCTAGGCACCTCTTAGCACCAGACTGATGCTTAGTGCCTAGGCGCTTGGACAGATTTTTTCTTTGATTGAATGGTGGTGGAGGAGGTTTTTTGAAAGTGTGAGGTGGAGGAGGTTTTAGAAAGTGCGAGTTGGAGAAGGTGCTCATAGTTAATGGAGGAGGCTGGAGGAGTTCTGAGGAGGTTAGAGGACATAGAGGCGGTTGCGGAGGAAATCACGACTAGGATCTAAATAGTACAGTTTGTGGAAGCGGTCCACACTTCCATAGGCTCCCGATGTACTACCTAGGACTAGACGGGCTAGGCGTCTGCTTTTTAAAATATTGTTTAAATATTTGAAATTGAATTAACCGAACCGACCAATCTTAATATAATTGTCTAAAAACTTATGATCTTTCTATGTGAAAAGATAATTCATACTAATATTTTTGTGTATCTTAATTGATTAAGTTTCAATTTTAGTTTGTAAAGTAGTTGATTTGGCGAGCATGCTTGTCAACTAGGGGTATGAGATGAGTAAGAGGTTTGAAGAAGTGAGATTTTTTTAAGCTAAAACCTACCTAATCTGACATGTCTATACCCAAGCTGAACAAACTGAACCAAACTTTAGTTTTGAATCTAGTTCAATTCAGTTTGGAACAAATAGTCAAAATCGATCTAACCATCCATTTGCTCACCCTTAGGGTTAGATACACAAACAACCTTTGAAATCGTAGTTTTTAACTCAATATGGGCTGAAACGAACTCAATCTGTGTCAACCAAGTTCGAAAAGTGAATGTGAAATATAGGATATATGTTCAAGAGGTGTATGACAAGTGTTTTAGATTAGAACACAAATTGTTATAATTGAGTATAGTTCTGAATAAATATGTGTATATATTTAAGGAGTATCTAAGAAGTGTCGGGTACGGGTATGAGATGTGTTAGGTATTCATACAACTTCATGATAGAAGTTATGATAGCCCACTAAGTGTCCCACTTCAGAAAATTGATAGAGTTTAAGAGGATTTAAATTATGAGTCTTGAGAGTCAAGTGCAACATTGATTAGTCAATTTTGGCACGTATTGCATGAGTTCTAGGGTTGACATTGCTCTAACGGGCTCGTCGGCCTAGAGCGTGACAGAATAACTCATGCAACATAGATGATAAGCAATAAAAAACAACAATCATACATAAAGGAAGGAGAAAATAAATATAAAGTATCTTCATTTGAGATCAAGGGATCTCTTCTTAACAACTATTCAAATAAAAATCATTAATATTGCCTACTCATTCTTCTCTACGATATCAAAAATTAAATAACCGTAAAAAATTAAAAGAGCTATCTAAACACTAGAATTCATAATTAGGGCTTTTATGTAAATTGCAATAAATCTTTTGTCCTTACCATTAGAATCTGAGTTAAGTCCAAGAGTACAAACAAATCTAGTAACAGCCCATGAATAAAAAAGCCACCAACAAAAAAAATTTAAACAATCAGTAAATAACTAAAAATTAAAATTTGAAAAAGAGATGCTATAAATAGAAAATTGATTATTTTTGTACCACTCATGAAGTTCTTTGTGGGTTAGAAGTAGAATCTGGTCTTTTGCCAAGTTAGCATCTCATTTGTTCAAGGATAATCTTGTTCTTTTTTCGGGTTTGATCTCAGTTTTCCTGCCAAATCTAAAACCAAACACGAAGCTGACCCATTGTCAAGAAATATCACAAGGGCAACAAGAAAGACAACAGTGGCAGAGTAAGAGTATTGAGCCTTAACTTGCTTTGTTGAGGTCAAGATTTGAGAGGGGGGGATAAGGAGGGGATTGAGGTCTAACATAGCCACGAGTCAATAAAAAAATAGAAAATATTTTTATGAGGAATTAAAGTGATTTTAATACAAAGCATCAAGAAGAATTTAATTAATACAAAGCATCAAGAAGAATTTAATTACAAATATGATGCGGACTATTACAGCCATCTGAGATGGAAAATATTTTTATCTGCTAGCAAAATGGGCTAATTTGTGCACAATAAGTCCATAGCCATCTGAGAAGAAAGACATTTTTATCTGCTAGCAAAATGGGCTAACTTGTGCACAATAAGTCCACACCCATCTGAGAAGGAAGACATTTTTATCTGCTAGCAAAATGGGCTAACTTGTGCACTATAAGATTACCCGTTCATAAGACATGACTAACATAAGAGGACATGAATGTCTTGAAAAGAGTTGAGCATTTCTCGAAGATACTCGAGAGATTATGCGGAGGCACAATGACACTATGGATCATAAACACAAAATCTGGACAATCAGACTCCAAAATGATTCATATTAACCATATTAACCAGAAGAAAAGGCAAGTCGAAGACCCTTGAGAAACGCATGAGCTTCGACATCAAAAGGGGGTGAAGGAGGGTCAAGGGAACTGTATGATAGGATATGATGACTAATTGGCTAAAATGATCATATACAATCACCCTATAACTTGAATAGTTTTTATTTGAGGTAGCGTCAACATTGATTTTAATATTAGGGAGTGGAACTGACCATGAGGACGGAGAGCAAATGTCAAAAATACTTCCCGAGGTAGGCATGCCCGGAGAGTGCAAGCGAGTGTAGACTTCCACAAGAGTGAGAATGGCCAAGGGGTTTGGATGATTACCTCTGAAAAATTACATCGTACCTCACTTTCCTGAACCAACAAGCAACTGCAATAATGACGATAATTGACAGACTATGAATAGGGGAGTTGGCCTGGACCACTAAGTGAATCAAAGAGAAAGGGGGTAGAGGTGGGACAACACAACAAATCGTGGACCAAATAGAGCGGGTGAATTGACTATTCATGAAAGAAGAGATGATCCAAAGTCTCATTTTCCAATTCACAAAGAGGGAAGATTGAATCACTTAACATGCCGAATTTCACGACGGTGTCTCTAGCTAGAAGCGGGGCCATTATAAAGAGTTCTCCAAATAAAATTATTGACATGAGGTGAAATGTTGTTGATCTTTTGGATTCTCACAATAATTCTTTTTACAGTAGAAGGAGTGCTATCACCCGAGTGAGATTTCATCAAAAGAAATATTGTATATAGCATTTGAAGAGATAGGTGGGAAGAGGCCATTCAAAAGCATAGAGTCAACAGGTTGGGCAACCAAATGGGGACAATAGTGATTGTCTGTGCGAAAGATAACATCCGCAGTGTTGTCATAAAAAGCTGCTGAAATTAGATAAACATTCCAAGTATTAGAGGTAGAATCAATAAGATGGTTAAACCAAGGTAATGTGAGTAGGGAAAAGAGGCGGGGTTATTGTTTGATCTTTCATTTAGAGGTTCTGAAAAATAGAGATGCTGAGACCGTCACCAATTACCCAAAAGTAGCTCAACTTGATCTAGTTCCTCGTCCATAAAATAATATGCTATATATTCGAGTCAGAGGGCTTGGTGGATGCACTAGAAGTGATTATTGTTGAGATATTTTTCGGTGAGGACAAAGGTCATGTGAAAACAAACACAAATTTAACTCCTGGATATTACTATCTAATGAAAAAACTAGCAGAAATTCCTTAAGCTGCAATCTCACATTTGAACAAGGGAAAAAATTACATCAAAAGTTGTTTTATTTTTCAAAATTTCACACTTCTTTTTATTTATAAAACTTGTGTTTGTCTCATCAATTTGATCATTCTGAAACTTTAAATTCCTTTCCTTGCAGACAAAGGGGTTTGAAGGTGCCATCTTCATGGATTGCGGAACAGACTTGGGTACAGCTCATCATGTCCCTGGTAAGTTCATTATATTTCTATCTACTGCCATTGTTCAACAAAGTTTATTTACACATGAGGGAATCATTTCTATATCAAATGTAAGTTGCTTTCATTAATAAGGAGAATATAAAAAGTAGAGTTAATTGTTACGCACATATTATGCCCTACAGGTTTCTGCTGGAAACACTATTCTTATTAACCCAAAAGGAAATTGATCTGTCTTTGTGAAGTATAGTCTCTTTTTTTCTCTCTGGTTCTAGATTTTTTTTTGTTTGTTTGTTTTCTCTCTGCTTTTTTTTTCTTGGATATCAGATTCTATTTGTTTCCTAGGTGAGTTTGAACAAATGAGTATATTGCCATATATTTTTTAGTAGTACCAGGTTGATTGAGACTATTATTTCTCGTGATGTAGATTCCAATGTCTGTAACCACTAGCTAGATGATGATCCTCCAATCTGTTTCTTATACAGTTATCTGCACCAAGTGATAACTGAGGAATTGATATGAGAAGGCAACTTTCTTTTTAATAAATTGTCTTCACAAAACCTGTTGTTGTT